TAAAAGCAACATAGAAAATAAAGTTCCATATATTCTATGGTGGTAATTTGAAAGTTTTAATGTGTTTTTTATTTATCTATAAACAATTTAATAGAATGACAGATGATTTTGTACATCATTGCATTAAAAAAACCACTAGATGATATATTTAAGTTTGATTAGGAATATACTTTTGGGAGAAACAGGTTCAATGTTCAAAATATTTCTTTCATTAGGAAGAATAAAATTTCAGTTAATATATAGTCAATCTAAATAATTTTATACTTCCTGAATTGATAGTTAGAAAAACAATGGCTTCTGCCTTTAAGAAATGAAAAAAAAACCCCACAAGAATTATTAGAATGATCCATATATAAATGCTGTTTATTTCTGTTCTTCAACTGAAATATAGAAGCTTGTGAAATGACAAGGAAAAACAGTATGAAGAATTGCAAGAATGAGACTTTTGTAGGGAGTCAAACATTTAATGTGGAAATAGAAAAGAAAATATGTATGAGATCATGCAAGAAAGAATTTGAAGGAGGCGCAAAGGGCACGCTGTGAAAACAGAGAAGCTGTAGAGATGAGGAATAAGGGCTTACGGTGGTTGAACTATGGTACAAATTCCACAGATAGGAACACTTAGAAATAGGTAGGGTGTAGAATAAACAGGATCTGCAGAATGACTAGACATGGAAGAGTAAAGACTTGCGTGATTTCTAGGTTTAGAGAGGAAATAGAAGGGGAAGTCAGTACGTGTGGTGGTTTGAAGAAGAATATATTTGAATATATTTGAATGCTTAATCACCAGATAGTCCTCCTGAGTGTTGGGATTAAAGGAGGGCACCATCATGTCTGGTTTAGCCAAAGTAGTTTTAAATGCAATTATGTGTCATGGTAATACTGGTACCTGAAAATTTTTATTTGTTCTATACAAAATTTGTATATTAAACCACTATGAATCTTTGCTTAGGACAAAGTAAATTATTTTCCTCCAAATAATGCCATTGTTTCATCTCTGCTTTTCTAATTTAAATTTTGAGCAAACTTTCAAGGGAGCATTTGTTATTCCATGTTAGTTTTTATATACTTTCTTTATTAATATGGGCATGCACCTTCAGTTGAGCAAGCACCACATTGTACGTGTGACATTCAGAGGACATTTCAGGAGTCCTGTCTTTCCTTCCAACATGTGGGTTCAGGGACTCCAGGTCCTTGGGCTTGTGCTGCAAGGAATTCCACCCGCTGAGCCATCTCCACGGTCCTCATCCCCGTTTTTATTAAGGATTTGAGTTTGAATGTAATATGTAAAACTAGCATTTTTATTTAAGAAGAACCTGTTTGGGGAGAGATAGTTTCCAGGTTCTTTAGGAAAATAGGCATTTGAGTTTAGAATATGTTTAAATAGAAAGTTCTTATTTTTTGTTAATTTCAAATTAGTACAAGATTAGAAAATAAAAAGCTAGAAACTTACATTCATGGTCCCTGGGAAGCTTGAATTTTTTCAACAACACCCTAATATTCACAAGTAGAAAAAAATTAAAACATTAACTTTGATACAATCTCAAGACACTTTGTTTAAACATGTAGACTATAAAGAGAATTATTTGACTTGAAATGCAAAAAATGTTATGAATAAAGTTCAACTTAATTTTATGTTAATCATAGTTGTGTTTTAAAATAAGTTGATATTGAAATTGACAAGCAAATTATGTCTGTGCTAACGAGTTTGATCAGAGAGAGTGCATTGATTTCTTAAGACACAGTCCTTCCAAGGATAGTGAAGAAGTCCAGTTATTCACAATACTTTCTTTAATTACCTTGCAAGTGAGTGACAATTAATTGTTTTTCTATGTCTACCATTTTAGTGTACAATAGAAAACTTTCAATTCTCACTAAAACTGTGACTTTTAAAGAGGGAGGAAATATATACTTTAATTAATGCATCAGTTAATTACATTAACATTAATATACACTATATACTTGGATAATATTTGCATTTAGTTTATGGTTAAAATAAAACAATGACCATACCGTGCCTTGTCATAAAATAATATTGGAGACGCCTATTGTAAATGTTATAGTGATACACTACATTTGAAAGGACAATATCTTTATCTTTCTCTCAGATACAGCCAATATAACCTATGTTAGCAGAGATTTAATAAAAGTGACCAAAATGGAACAGTCTCAAACCTGGTAAGTCAAGGCCTTAGAAAGCAAGATACACAGGTATGTGCTATCATGACTGGTTATAAATTATAAGAATGTATCTACTGGGGCTGCAAAGAATACAAGGGCTCAAGTGGTTAAGAGCCTTTGTTCTTTCAGAAGACCTGGGTTCAATTCTCCACACCCACATGAAAGTTCACAACCATCTGTAACTTCAGTTCCACGGGATCCAACATCCTCTTTTGACCTCTGTTGGCACCAGGCACTCACATGGTGCATACACATACAAACAGGCAGGCAGGCACACACACACACACACACACACACACACACACACACACACACACGATAAAATACATCTAAAATTTTGAAAATAATTTTAAAGAGGTATATTTACTGATTTGTTGGTGTGAGTATAGGAAGGCGAAGCAAACTTAAGTTGGGCCTACTAAATGCTGAGACTGTCTTCCATGTATGGAAGATAATTACCCAATACATAGGTTTCCCTAACACTGTAGAAGTTTCAGATTTGAGAAGCGACCTTCAGTTAAGAGTCCTCATTTTTATCTCAAAATATTTATATTGAAAGTGAAAAATGTCTCAAACCGGAAATATAGAAAGCAACATGATTTTCATGATAGTGTATTTCAGGAGACAGGAAGTTGTTGAAGAAAGTAATGTCTCAAGAGTAACCACAGATTTGATCATTAGATTTTACATTTGTGCACATGCTATGTGTCAATATTTTTCTACTTTATATTATTAAACTTTTTCTATTGATTTACTCACTTTTCAGACTGAATTGGAATACTTGGAATATTAAGAAATACATTGGTAATGTGTGGCTGTTTTAACTTTTGTTTTTTTTTTTTTTGGTTTTTCGAGACAGGGTTTCTCTGTGTAGCTTTGCGCCTTTCCTGGAACTCACTCTGTAGACCAGGCTGGCCTCGAACTCACAGAGATCCGCCTGCCTCTGCCTCCCGAGTGCTGGGATTAAAGGCGTGCGCCACCACCGCCCGGCCCGGCTGTTTTAACTTTTAATCCCCCAATACCAAACTTCTTTATTCTTGCTATACTCAAACCATGAAAAATGGTAAGATGTGTTTCTTTGTGGAAGATCATTGCTAAGTCTCACTCACCAGCATATATGCTTACACAGTTCCCCACTCTTCAGAAATGTAGGGCAGTTGCATTCATGAGGGTTTCCTAGCAAAACCTTTAAAAGAAAAGTAAGACAGAAAAAAAAATCCCAGTTAATTTTTAGAGTTAGGATAAAACTAAGTTGATAAAATAACTTTATTTTATCTAAAAATATAATTTAGATCTAAAAAGATCTAAAGCATTAATTTAGTGACTCTGAACTGGATCTGTGATTGACTGGGACTTTCTGAGGAATATCCTTTCTAGACTTTCTAGGCTGAGTTTCCACTTCTGTATTCTTTGCCTTGGTCAACAACTATCGCTATGAATCAACACATTTTTTTAAAGGTCATCTGTACTCAGATGGAATTAAATCTAAAATTAAAAGCTTTCACCCCAAACCATTACATTTTTAAGGTATAGAGTTAAAGGCATTTGTCTTTTGTAAGACGGTTTGCTCACTCTGAATTTGGGGGTGGGCATCTGAGCTACTTTCATTAGAGAGGATTCGACTTATTCAAGACTATATAATCTGAAGTTGTTCCTTAAACTCAATAAATTGTGTGATCAGCAAAGTAAGAAAGCATGCTTTGGACAAAGTACAGAGTGATAAACTGTATCCAGTACTCAACTACGAGGCAATAAGTTTCAATTTCTAAAGCAACTGAAAAGTGTTCAGTAGCTCATCTTTGACAGACAAGAGGACATGTAAATATGAAACATCTGTTCTCTTTCAGAAAAATGAAATGGAACTCTTATTCACTCACAAATTTTCAAAGTATCAACATTCAAACTACCCTTTAGTGAGCTGTTATAGTTTTAAAAGCCAGTAAAAAGAAAATGAGCATAGTTAGAAAGCATTACAGAGAACCTGATTTTAAGAAGCAAACTTTTAGAAGATAGTAGGATTTTCATTTGATTTACAGGGCTGGTGACCACTAACAAGGCATCCAGAAATACACGTACCACAAGCCAAATACTCCTATAACCCTCTCTTAGATTTGTTTCTTACAGGAGTTGGACGCAGTTCAAGTTCCTAACTATCAAGGAAGAACCTTTTCTGGTAAACACCCTCTCCTTTTATAACTTGCATATTTTTAAACTCTAGGGAGCATTTGTGGGGATGCGTCCTTGGGTGAGGCCCCTGTGTGTGCAGGGTTGCGGAAGTTGGCTTAGGTCACCTCCCCTGTACCCCTCCCCTCCTCCCTGTCCCCAAATTCCCAAGGAAGATTGGTAGTGCCATCCTTACTCGGAAATTCCCCTTTTCTGGCTCCTCCTCTCTCAGAAGAAAGCCGGTAGGGCCGATCTGTCGCAGGAGATAGATGCTGCTACTCAGCGCCTGGTCTTGCTGCCAGCTAAGGCTATCATTCAAGTGTCTTCGCCTTTCTGAGGCTTTATTGCCTCCCCGAAGCATCCCCAGCGGCCGAGGCGCCACTGAGCTAGGCTTTCTGAAGCGCCTTGGGTCTCTATGGCAACAGCGTGCAGCGCGGTTGTCTTGGCGATGGTAGCTCTGTCCTAGGCGCTCCAGTGTGCCTTGCTATAGTTGGGGCGGGAGAGATTTCCGAAGTCTACCTGCAGACTTTCAAAACCCGGGGCCACAGGCACAGGGGCAAACTCCTACTCTTGTTGCTGATTTGCTCACAGGCAGAACTGGTGAGATCAGTACGTTGGGGCAGTCGCAGACCCAGTTACAGTGTGGCTCCGGAGGCTAAAGTTACTCTGCGTATTTCTCATCCATTATCAAAAAACTCAGCATGATGGTTGATGTTCAGAATTCCACAAACGTTTTCCAGTGGCTCACAACAGCATACAATGAGTAAGTCGCCGAGGGAAGACGGAGAAAATAGGGCTAGCTTTAAGCAGCTCAGCTAGGGGTGTGTGTGTGTGTGTGTGTGTGGTGTGTGTGTGTGTGTGTGTGTGTGTGTGTGTGTGTGTGTGTGTGTGTGTGTATCTTAAACCTAGGGGAAACTTAAATTGCATGTTGGGGTTGGACATTTGATGTGCTGTCACAGTATCCACAGCCTCTAAACTTATAAAGCTCCATTTTAAAGAGTTAGATTTTTTTTTTTCAAAAAGGTTGACCCAACAATCTACAATTTGTTTCTGAACTTCGTTTCTATCTTCTGAGTTGAGAGCTATCCTAAAATATTAGTCAACAGTTTGAGTCATAGTTACTGATTGAGAAATCATGTCACTGGATTCTCTCTAAGAAATTGAAAGCAGAAGAAAGCTCTACTTGGTGGGTTACAGGAACAAGGAAGGCACTGATATTCTCTTATCAGGGAAGGAAACCACAACTAGATCAGGTTAAAAACCAAAAAAAAAAAAAAAAAAAAAAAAAAAAAAAAAAAAAAAAGGCGAAAGTCCCACCCCGGTGTAAAGATGATGGTTAGGGCAGCTTGACAAGACATGAGCCATCTGCATAAACACCATGGGACCTCAGGTCCAAGGTTTGAACTGACAATTTCGTTTTGTTTTCTTATTAAGTAATGAAGGGCTAACAGTTACACCACCATAATTCCAACATTATCATCAGTCAAACGTGTTAGCAAAGAAAAACACTACATATTAAGAAAATCCCTTTAAAATTTTTAAGAGAACAAGATAAATTGTAAATTCATTTTATACAATAGTATTTATAATTTAACAACTCAGAATTAATGAATGTCAATTCATGTTTTCTATGTAACAGAACGAGTCAGGTTTCATGTTGAAGATACTTTCTGTAGTCACTCTTTCCCCCCATCCTCCATGTTCCTGAATGTGTGTGTATGCATACAGCTATTTAAGAATTTAAAAATCAAACATCAACAAATATTTAAGCTATTGCATTTTATTTAGAATGACATTTGCTTTATATGTGATAAATACTTTTTTTCAAAAAGGTCCCATACTTAAATTATAAATTGTATAAATTTATACAATTTATACTATAGTTCATTAATTCCATTTTGAGGAATAGTAAAAGTAACAGTATCCATGTTCTCATGGGAGTTGAAAGGAGGAAGTGCAGATTGCTCAACAGAACTGTAGTCTAGCTGAATGACATTTGTTTTTATAACTGACAGTTAAAACTTTAGAAACAGCTTCAGAGTCAGGTGACTGTCCCATATGCTTTCTTCATCTTTGAAATTTTGATGACAAGAGTAATAATACATTTGCAAATGTTTTAACTTGGAGAATTAAAATTTCTCCTTGAATTTACACTATTATTCTTCATGTTATATATCAAGGCATATTTTCCCCAGGAAAACTGATTGAGCTTAAGGAATTGATAAGTTTGTTTAATGAATGAATTATTAATGCTATTGACCGTAGAAGAAAGGTGTCAATAAATTACTGTATCCCCAACTCGAGATGTAAAAGGGCTAGACTTGCAGTGTTAGCCTAGAAGGAAAAAGACTAATTAAAGTCAGAGGGAGAAGTCAGTTGCTAATCTCAACATGGATATGTGTAATTAGTCTAGGAGTGATGAACATTGAAATAGGTTTGTGATGACTGAGCGTAACTGGGACTGGTGTGTGTGGGAAAATACTTCAGGAACAGAGCTAGGGAGGCCTAATCTACCAGAAATCTTCAATTATTTTGCTTTATCTAACACATAGGAATATGCTGAGGTATTGAAGGAGGAAAAATAAATGAACTGGATATAATGTTTGTCTTCTGTCCTGGCTGGTTTTATGTCAACTTGACACAAGCTAGAGTCTTCTTAAAGGAGGGAACCTTAATCATGGAAAAGATGCCTCCATAAGATTTAGCTGTAAAGCATTTTCTTAATTAGTGAGTGATGGAGGAGGGTCTAGTCCATTGCAGGTGGTGCCATACCTGGGCTGATGGTCCTGGGTTCCAGAACAAAGCAAGCTGAGTTAACCGTAGGGAGTAAGCCAGTAAGCAGCACCCCTCCATGGTCTCTGCATCAGCTCCTGCCTCTAGGTTCCTACCCTGTTTGAGCTACTGTCCTGACTTCCTCCAATGGTGAACAGTGATGTGGAAGTGTAAGGCAAAGAAATCCTTTCCTCCCCAAGTTGCTTTGGTCATGGTGTTTCGTTACAGTAATGGTAATCCTGACTAGGCCAGCTTAGAATGAGTAAAGGTGTACAGAGAATATTAGAGTTGATGTTTTCCTCTAGTAAATATGCACAAAAGAAAAGAGAAGATACAGAATTCATTAATCTCAAGACTGAGAAGAAGCAGAACCAAGGACTCTAATAGAAGGTGCCAATGTGGTATCTTAAACTTAAGAAAAGTAAATGTAGTGTAAAAAGTAAATGTGATTAAATGTAGTGTAAAAAGTAAATGTGTGTAAATGTAGTGGACACCAACAGGGAACCCACTGCCCAAGTGACTAGTAAGAGTCTAGAAGACATTTATGAGTTCAAGGCCCTCACCTTTGTTATTAGACTCAAATTTACACACACTTTAGCTTCCTCCTGCCCTTTATACCTTCTTGGGGAAAACAGAGAGTGGCGTGCTCGATAGTTTTGACTGTCAACTTGACACAATCTAGAATCACCCAGAGTGAGAGCATCCATAAGGGATTTTCTGGATGAAGCTGCCTGTGGATATGCCAATGAGGGCTTTTTCTTCATTGTATTAATTGATGTGGGAAGATCCATTCTCAATATTGGCGGCAATGTTTCATGGGCCAGGCCCTGAATCATATAAGAGTGAAAGGGTCAAGCTGAGTGAGCAGGCATGCAATTATTTCCCTTTCTTGATTGTAGATGTGGTGTGACTAACAGCTTGAAGTCCCTTCTATGATGGACTCTACCTGGACTTCTGAACTAAAATAAGCTTTCTCTTTAGTTGCTGTTTGTCTTGGTATTTTCATCGCAGCAACAGAAACTGGAATAGAGTAAAAAACATAAATTCTAAACTTTTTCTCCCTATTGACTAAGTTGGCCTTAGCAGCCATTTAACTCAACTAAATCTTAGACCATTTTTCCTGCTGGTTTCAGATCCCTAACTTGCCTTGCCTTAGAACAATACTTCAGAAAATTTCCAGTGGAAAATTCTCACTTTTCTGAGATGCAAGTATTCTTCCAGCCTTTTGATGGTATCAAAATTCAGTAAAATTCTTCTAAAGAATATGGGCACCACCCCTTTGATAAAGAATTACCAAGAAAGAGAAGACTCCTAAACCCCACCCTCTGCGGCAATGCAATCCCGATTTAGTAAAATGTCAAGTAATAAATACAATGGCTGAGTCACAGTCGCTAACGTCCCTATTCCCACATAGCGATGCTTTTCCACTAGCTCTTCCAAATGCTCACAAATTCCTGTTCTTATCTCACTGTAATTGAGTTTGATCTCTCTGCTTATTACAATGGCATTTCATGAAGTCTATGTGCCTGTTTAACTCTACCCAGCACAATTTTCCTTGACAATAGATATTATTTAGCTAAGATTGTTTAATTGTTAACTCACACCAAATTACATTTAGCAAGAGTTTTCTTCTTCTTGAATGAAGGAAAATGGAGGCTAGCAAAGGTCAATGAGTCATTTATGAAGAAACTCTAGTTCCATGCTTCACAATCAAGATATAACAGAAATAAATTTGAAACTCACTGTAAGTATTATTAGGACTTTTAATTCAAGATGCCAGACTGGGGGACTGGAGCAGTGGTTCAGCAGTTAAGAGCACTGGCTTTTCTAAAGGACCGGGTCCTATTCCCAGCGCCCATGGGAATGGAACCTGGGTCCTGCTACCCATATGGCAGCTCACAACTGTTTATCACTCCAGTTACAGGGGATAGAGCATCCTCTTCCAGTATCCAGGAACACCAGACATGCATGTGGTGTACAAATATACATGTAAGCAAAACACCCATACACATTAAGTAATAAGTAAATATATAAAATTATAAAAAGATGTCAGAATAAGTAATACCAGTTTCTTTCCAGTTGAAGACGTGAGATAATAAAAAATAGATTTTGACATTAAATTATGAGTACAGCAAGAGATGGCTGAAATATACAGAAATCTAAGAGTAACCCTAATGACTGTTGCCCTTATATATATTTTTTCTCTTGTGATAATGTGCTGCCACACATCAAAGAAGATACTGCAGTTGAGGTTAGTTACTAATCAAGTGACTGGGCTATTTGAAAGGGAGATGATGTGTGGTGGACTACTAGAGTGTTCTAAACATTGTAAAGTCAGAATCATCTCTGACCTGTAGCAGAAGGACAAATCAGAGTGGAAGCATGGTTCTCTTGCTATCTTGAAGATGGAAAGGAAGACGTGAGAAGGGCCCCTGGGGCCTCTGGAAGATTAGCTTTTGACTGACAGTGGTCAAGGAAGTAAGAACCCTTAAACCTACAACATCAAGAAAACTGGATTTTCCCCATCAAACTAAATGGGGTTGAAAGCAGATTCTGACTCAGAACTTCTAGATGAAAGCATAGCATGGTTGGCAAATGGAATTCAGTTTTGTGAGACACAAACAGAGGACCTAGCTGAGTCTGCCTGGGCTTCTGACCTAGAGACCTGTGAGCCAGGGAATATTGTTTTAAATCACTAGGTTTCTCATAATTTACTTCACAGCAGTAGAAAATACTGGTAATGAAAAAAAAAAACAGCAACAACAAAACAGTGGGGGCCATGCCAACCTGAATGCCCTACGCCGCTATCCCGGGGCCAGTGAGGAACAGGTCTTACATGTCTGGGTGCATGGCCCAACAGCAGCCAGGGTCCGGGCTGATGTCCATGGCTTGTGCTCTCTACCACAGGGGTTCATAGGAACCATATATGTTGAAATCTGAGGGTCGTGTTGAGCCAGCCCTGTCCTTCACTGGTCCAGGGATAGCTGACCCCATCCCTCGCTGGACAAGGCAGCAGGAGAGCTGCCATGGCACCCCATGAGAGAGCGGATGCCAGCACTCAGGAAAGATGATCCCACCCCTCACCACAGGCATGAGAGAGCTGGCCCCGATGGCATGGGACTAGGAGAACTGGCTCTGCCTGTCACCTGAGAGGGTGGTCCCAAAGGCCTGGACTGGCCAGCTCAGCAACCACCCAGACCTGGGCCTTGGGTTGGCTCACCTTAACAGCTGCTGCATCTGTGACTTGCTGGAATCTGTGAAGGGACTGGTCCTGCAGAACGATGACCTCAGGATCTCCATGACTCAGGGCAAAAACAGGATATCTGAGAGGAGTTTCCATGAAGGCCCAGTGATGATCGTGCACCAGAAACTAGAGGCCCTAAAGCAGACCAATGACTCACTGCAGTGGACATTTTACGGGTGGGGCTGATTGGACAAAAGAGGTACACTGCGTGACACACCGCAGCTCCGAATGCCACTAGGACATAAGAAGAGGTGTTAAAAGATGGATGAGCGAGGTGGGTTTTTTGTTTGTTTTATTTTTAATTAATTTTAGGGTGCATACATTGAGGGATTGGGAGGTAGGTAGGCTTGTGGTACATGATGTGAAATTTCCAAAGAATCAATAAGGAATTATGATTTAAAGAAAAGGAAATACTGGCAAATGGATAGTTTCAAAAAACTGTTAGAAGAACAGATAGGTGGAAAAGAGCCGATAGATGAAGGGGAACAACACTTACATGAGCAGGGAACAGTGCTCTCGATTATTTGCCAGCATTGGATTGGGCAGCAGAGTTACTTCCATTAGTTTTAGGTATAAAGGAATTTATTATAATTTATAAGCTAATTTTCAAGTTGTCTAGGAGAACCACAGGATCAACCTTTGATCTAAGAGGTACTCAGGGAAATTGTTTCCTTGCATCATGAGGTTCACCTGCATCATGGAAAAAATCTCCAACACATTCACAAAAATCTGAGGACTAGACATCACACCCTCATTGTGCGTGTTGCTGAAGCAGCAACAAGGGACTTTATATTATCACTGTCATTACACCACAGCCCAGAGCTTCAGGTCTGCCTTTGGAGAGTCATCAGGACTAAGCTGTGTGTTTCAATACCGATGACAACAGCAATCTGGGAGAGCTTGTACTATCAAATTAGAGAGAGCAAAGAGGGTAAGGAGATTGAGAAGCTCAAAGAACTTGGCCAGCCACAAATCCAAGCCATTAAAAGAAAAGCCTAATCAGAAGGCGAGCCTTTGGTTGAGACAGATGTTTTTTCCTGGTTGTCTTTCAGAAAAATTGGTCACCCATTTTGGTGATTCCTTCTATATTTGGTGTTTATTCTCAAAATGGGAGAAGTTGTTTTGTTGCTTTGTCTCCATTTCTGCCTGTAACTGTTATAATTCTGTAGTCTTTCGTGCAGGCAGAATGGATTCCAGCTTACTAGTTCAGGAAGAGGAAGACACACACTCCATGGGAACTTGTTTCTGTGAAGCACTCTAAAGACACTCTACCCAGCACTTAGTTCTAACTCACAAACAAAAACTTACATTTTTGGAGATGTAAATTTGGATTTTTGATGTTTGCAAGATAATTAGCTGAAAAGATGTGTAGCTAAACTCCCTACATACTATCTTTGAGTGTGCTGCTTTGAGATATGCATATGCAGATATCTTTACTGTGTTTTGGCTTTCCTGGTCAGTGACTCAGATGACGAAAAGTATTTATTAGTTGGATAGAGATACAAAGTTGTTTTTTTTTTATAATTAAAAATAGGAATTGAATTAAGCAGTCTTCCCAAACATTGTTGGGTTGCAGTGAAGGAATGTTTTGAATGGCACATGCCTACAAGTACAAGGGGAATTAGAATGGAGACAAAAGCAACATCATTTTGAAAAAAATGTAATGATTGGTGAGTAGTGGGCACCATGGCAGACTGGTTGAAGGCCTAAGTTGAACTTGTGCTGGAAAAGTAAGGACCAATCCCATTTAATTTGAAGAATTCCAAAAGAGCCAGTGGATTTATGGGGTCAGCCATCTCTGTCAATGCTACAGAGGGTGCTACAGGATAATATTCCAAAAAAGGAAAGTTGATTGAAAGCTGCCCCTTCCTTACTTTGACATCTAGGCAACTGTGTCAGCCCAGGAACATTATCAGAGATTTATTTTACCAGAGAAGGACTTTCCATAACAGGGTCCTATGCACAAAAGCAGATGGTAGTGCTGTAATTAAACAGAGATGCTAAGCTGTCTGTGTGCACAGAGCCTAGATTTCTGCCCCTTAATCTACACCACAACTAAATCAAATATAAGCTAGAAACCAAGAAACTGCACATTGAAAAGGTCAAGTAGCTGAAAGCCAAAACCTTGGAAGAACCTTCCTGCCGAAATGAAAGCATGAAAGGTGTTGTGACGTCTTTCAAAAAGAAGTCAATTAAACCTATAAAATCAGAAGGCTGCAAGAAAGAAATATGAGGATGTCAAAGAACTTGGGCGTTTAAATCAAAGCAGAAGATGACTCAAGAAGAATGTGAGAGCTCAGGAAATCTCCCCCAAAATAAAGCAGGAGAAACAAAACCCAACCGTAACCACCCAACACAATGAGAAATTGAGAGAATTCAAATAAAAACATTGTGAAGATGTATATGAGATTTTATATCTAATTAATAGAAAGTTGAAAAGAGAGAAGAGAAAGGGGGATGAAAACAGTAAAGAAATATTTTTCAAAACCTGTTAGAGGGCTGGAGAGATGGCTTACTGGTTAGGAGCACTGGCTGCTTTCCCGGAGGTCCTAAGTTCAATTCTCAGCAACCACATGGTGGCTCATCACCATCTATACCGAGATGTGATGCCCTGATAGAGCACATAAAATAAATCTAAAACAAAACAAAATAATACTTGTTAAAATGGCCAGGCACTGGTGGCATATACGTTTAATCCCAGCGGGTGTTTCTTTGGGAGTTTCAGGCCAGACTGGTCTACAGACTGAGTTCCAGGACAGCTGGATCTACACAGAGAGACCCTGTTTCAAAAACAAACAAAAAAAAAAACACCCCCCCCCCAAAAAACCCAAAACCAAAATCAAAAACCTTGTTAGAATAGAAAAGGGATGAATTAAGCAATCAAAATTATTGCCAAATGTAACTGAAAAGGTGTGCAACCACACTGTTGAGTGTGTTTAGGCTGGGTATCAAACAAACCCAGAGAGAGGATACATTCTTGGATACAGTACTAGAAATAAACAGGAACTCTGTGTATTGACAGGCAGGTCCTGAGTGGTCAGTATCAAGACTGAATGAGAAAGTTCATAATTCTAGGGATGGACAGAAGAGCCTACTCTCTCTCTCTCTCTCTTTCTCTCTCTCTCTCTCTCTCTCTCTCTCTCTCTCTCTCTCTCTCCCTCCCTCCCTCCCTCCCTCCCTCTCTCTCTCTCCCTCTCTCTCTCTCTCTGAGTGTGTGTGTGTGTGTGTGTGTGTGTGTGTGTGTGTGTGTGTGTGTGTGTGTGTGTTAAGGGAAAGAGGAAGAGGAGAAGAGAAGGAAGAAATTGAGAGATACGGTTGCAGAAATAGAGAAAGGATAAGAGAGATTAATTACATGGTCTGGAGTAAAAAATGTGTTCGGGGTTTTTTATTTGTCATAAACACCTATGAAACTATAAGACAAAGGATAATCCACTTTGGTTTAGATCTAAAACAACCTATCCTTCACAGGTCATAATTAAAAGCTTAGTTGCTAATGGAAGGACTTTGGGGAAGTTATAAAACCATAGGAGTGGGGCTCAGTGAAAGAAACAGACCTTTAGGGCCATGGTGCTAGGGATATCTATTTCCTAGCCCAGGTCATGGAAACAGCTTTTCTCCACCACACACCACACAGCATCGTCCAAACACAGTCCAAGAATGTAGTCATATGAGAAGATATCTGAGTGCTTGTGAGAAAACTCCAAGAAACCAAGAGTCATGTGACTTCTGTTTCTTCAAAACACAGAAATGCTCTTGGAACGTATTTTCTTGCTCTTCCCAGGGGCAGCAGATAGGAGTAAGTTTACTTTAGATCATTCATTATATGCCTCTGTGGAAAAAACATGTTTTTGCCACACACAGCTTGTCCACCACACGCAGCTTGTCCACCACACACAGCTTGTCCACCACACACAGCTTGTCCACCACACGCAGCTTGTCCACCACATGGAACTTGTCCACCATGTATAGCTTGCCTTATGTTAAGCTTGTACATCATTTTTTAATGAAAGGAGGAACACAAGCATTAAAATCACAACTATTAGATTGCTTGCAAGTTGTTTCCAGAAGAAGAAACTTTAGGTGAAGAATTGTGGGATAGAGTCCAAAAGAATATCGAAAAGGCACATAAACAAAAGGAAAAGATCCCTGGTCAGTTTTGTGCATTGATTTGGATTGTTACCAAAATGCTTAAGGAAGATAAGGAGGATATTAATCATGAGGAAGAGATGGATAATTTCTTTTATTTTTTTTACTTACAATTTCAAAGGTCCAGTCCATTATCATCAGGATGGGGAGCATGGTGGTGTGCAGGTAGGTGTGCTGGAGCTGAGAGTCTTACATCTTGACTTTGAGACAACAAGAAGTCAATTGGCAGTCACGCTGAGGGAAGCTTGAGCAAAAGACCTCAAAACCTGCTCCCACAGTGACACACTTCCTCCAACAAGGCCACACCTCCTAATAGTGCCACTCCTTTTGGGGGCCATTTTCTTTCAAACTACCACACTCATCATGTGCTCCAATTGTGCCTCACCTCCCAGTCTTCCCATGTCTGCTCCCCTTCCCCCTTTCCCCAATCTCCTTCCCCCCAAAGCAAGCAAGCAAGCAAGCAAGCAAACAAACAAACAAACAAGTTCATTTTGTGTGATCCACATATTCACTGGAGCAAGGTCGAGTTCCTAGTGTCCAGGCCCCCAGGAGAGGATGAGTCTTTCTCTGCCTTTATCCACACCAGAAGCCATCGGCTGAGAGAGCCTCGTGGTGGCCGGAGCAGTCGTTGTTGTGGTGTCCCTCCTAACCCCCCTTGGCTGGTGGTGAGGACCAGCTCTCCACAGTTTGGCTGTCAAGGATCCAGGCCAGCTCTCCTGCACCAAGGAACTTAACATGACTTCAGGCGGCAGCCATGACCATGGTCAGCTGCATGGGCTTTGTTGGTAACATGGGCTACAGACCTCAACTGGGCCCTTGCCCTTATCAGGACCACAGACTCACTCATGGCCCTCAGCGTCTACAGGGACCACAGGCCTCAACATGGTCTCTGATGGTTACACATTCCACTCATGTCAGTGTGGCTTGCCTGGGCAGTTTCTTGAAGGAATATTAACTGGATAACCAAAGCTTAAAATTGGTGAAAGAGGCAAAAAGGGAGATTTTCCCTGTTCAGGCAAAATCGGAAGTAAAAGCAGTGCCACAGATAACTAACTCTGCTGGTGACCCTTCCCTCAGCTCCTTCACTGGAGCCTCCATTACCTGAACTTGACCCTGAAGCATGGAGTGAGGAATTAGATAATCCCTCTAAACATGAATTCTCCCCACTTCTTGATAAAGATGTAGGAGAGCCTATAAAAAGCTGTTTACAACCTAAGCAGCTAGGGCCCAGCAGGGCAAAGAAATTTCCCAATTCCTTCCCAGCCTCATGAGGTATGCTTGGTATTTCTAGTGCAATTTCAGCAAAATCAACATGTTTACCTGTGACCAATCTATTTCAAACTCTAGGAGGAAAGACAGCTTGGAGAGTTCTCAAATATTGTCTCCCGAGGCAAAAAGAACTACAGCTCTCAGGATTCAGACTAAAAGAGACATTTGTGTATTGTGTAGATCCTTCACCCCCTTTCAGCTTGTTTTCCCCACTAAACTGTCTCCTGCAGGTATTATAGCACAAGGGGACAAATCTTTGGAATGGATTTATTCACAACATAAGGACCATAAAATAGTAACTGCTTACCTTACTCTTCTTGCTCAATTAGTAAATCAGGGAGGACCTGATGTCAACAATTGTATATGCGGTAATATTTTATTTGTGCACCCCAATAAAGCTTATCTTAAGATCAGAGGAAAAAGCCAGCCACTGTATTAAACATAGAAGTCAGGCAATGGTAGCACACACCTTTAATCCTAGCATTCAGGAGGTAGAGATTCATCTGGATCTCTGTGAGTTCAAGGCCACGCTGGGAACAGAGCCAGGTGTGGTGGTACACACCTTTATTCCAACACTAGTTAACCATAGAGGTCTGGAGGTCTGTACAGACAGACAGGAAATGACAGAGCTAAGTGGAAAGAGAAAAGTGATGCAGCTGGGCGGAAAGAGGAAGTGAGTGGCAGGCACAGAAAAGATATAGGCATGAGTATACAGGAAGTGGCTCTCTTGGGCTGAGGATTTACTAGTGGTAAGAACATGGCTGGCTTCTTTCTGCTTCTCTGATCTCTCAGTTTCAACCCCAATATCTGGCTTCAGGTTTTTATTAATGAGACCATTTAGCAATTCATCTTATATACATGGACTTGCTCATTGATGCATTATATTACCCCTAACTAACAATTTTTAAGAGAGCTAGAGAACTCTATGAGTTTTCAAATTTGATTTGCAGATTACTGTAGAAGGATAAGAAATCATTTTCCAGCTGGGGATTTCCTCATACGAACTAAATTTGTGGTTACACTGTCCAACCTTCTCCCATTCCAGAGATACATATTTATTTTGTTGGTGGTTCATCTAAACCCTTAGGAGGGATTCATGGACCAGATAGTCATCAGTCTATTAAAACTTCTTTTTCTTCAGCTCAACAGGTAGAACTGGCTATTTTAATTAATCTATTGTGGTTAATTCATAAATCCTTATATATAGTTTCAGATTCGGCTTATGTTGTAGGATTATTTCCAGTAGACTCATACTTGTGCACACTCGGGCCTCCCTGGTTTTATTACAGAAAGAAATAAGCAAGCTGATGCATTAATCTGTCCTGTTTTTACATCTCCAGAAGAAAACTGGGAAGGGGTATGTATCTGTCTTTGTCGATGGATCCACTGAAACGTTGCGGATTCCTCTTCAGTTCCCCTGACTCCAAGCCATAGAACAGCTGCAGAGGATGAGGAGACAGTCTCCAGAAATAACAAACCTCCAGCTAAAGAGCAAAAGGAGTTATCAACCATATCTTCAGAAGTCAAGTTTGTCCACTTGGACCAAGTCAAGGCGCTATGAACCAAGGGAGAAGTTATTCTATGAAACACACAGAGTCCTATGTCACCTGAGAGTCTGGTGACGCTGTTCTGCTTTGACCTGTGCATCTGCAGTGAGTGCCTCTGAGCATGTGTATTGGCCTTATGTACCTCATCTTTCTTTGCTTCAGCTTGTAGATCATATGGATTCAGCTCCTGTTATCTTTACTTATGACTCCATGTTTATGCCTAGACCTTGAGATCGTAACAGACTCATCCGTCTGAAGAAGGGACTGTGTTTAATTTTTCCTTGGAATTTAAATCACTTCCAACAACATCATAACATTTGTATTCCTATTAAAGGACAAATATGGGCTTATATTCTACAAGAGACCAGAATTACTAATCATACGGGTCTCTTTTCAAGCTAGTCTCTAGACCAGCAGTTCTCAGCCTGTGGGTTGCGACCCTTTCTGGGGGGGATGTCTAATGACCCTTTCACAGGGGTCTCCTAAGACCATTGGAAAACACAGAAATTTACATTATGATTCACAACAGTAGCAAAAGTACAGTTATTAAATAGCAATGAAAATAATTTTATGGTCAGAGGTCACCACAACATAAGGAACTGTATTAAAGGGTCACAGCATTAGGAATGTTGAGAACTACTGCTCTAGATTTTTTGATGAATATAGTAATGTAACCAGTAGTACTGGACATAGTTTGAGTCCTGTTCTTGGTGGCAGAGAATCCTGCCCAATGCTTTCACTGTTCTACTATTATTCATTATGTTTATAGTTTGCTTATAGGATATTGGTGTATAACAATTGGAACAGGGGCTGTCCCTGATGCTTTGGATGGCTCTTGGGAACCTACTCCTCATACTGAATTACCTTGCCCAGCCTTAATACAAGGGGAGGTGCTTACTCTTACTGAAACTTGATGTGCCATGATTTGTTGATACCCATGGGAGGCTTGCCCCTTTCTGAACAGAAGCAGAGGAGGAATGGATGGAGGTAGAGTGGAGGGGAGGTGGGGGGAGAGAATGGGAAGAGAAGAGGGAGGGGAAACTGGTCAGGATGTAAAAATAAATAAATTTTCAAAATTACAATTAGATTGACATACAGCGTCTCAAACAAAAACCACTTTGGATATCCTGCTTTTAAAAAATAAAAAAGGTGGAGGTGTTGGACAGGGTCCAGGAATGGAGTAGCATGAGAAGATTTCTGAGTACTTGTGAGAAAACTCCAAGAAACTAAGCCAAGAGTCTTGTGACCTCAGTTTCTCCAAAACACAGAATCGTTTTTGGAATGTGTCTTTGTGTTCCTCCCAGGTGCAGAGGATAGGAGTGGGTGTACTTCAGAGTGTTCATTATATGCCTCCGTGGAAAAACATGTTTTTGCCTGTGTAGCTTGCCTGTGATGTGTGACCTGTCCTTGTGATTATATACTTTATGCATGTGACTCTGCTTAACCCACAGAGTATAAACTGTCTGATGCTCTCAAGAAAGTAGGCTACTGCATGAGACTTTAGTCTGCCTCATTTATCAGCTCCATTCTCCCAGGTCCCACCACCTCTAGAGCAGTAAATACCATGATTTATTCCTCGTTATGGGACCAGAAACAATGAGGCCAAGAGGTCACAGACAGAAACCTCTGAAGCTGTTTAAGTTTTTCAGATATTTAGTCACAGAGATAGAAAGTTAACTGGCATAGTATTATGCAGGTAAGAAAACAAACACTTTGTAGATAGGCACAAATTTTGAATATTTACCTCCTACCTTTATTTTTTGCCTGCACTCTGGAAGCTACTAGAGTACATGCTCTCTGCAATCATAGAATCAAATGAAGAGAGTCTCACAGCCACAGGGAATCCTGTAAGAGATAGGGATGTCCAGGGTATATCTCGTACACAAGTGTCTAAGCAGTTCAGAAATCTTCAGATTTGTTATTTTCAAGAAGAACATATTGGTAGAAAAGAGGATGTGTTAAATGTATTGAGCAGATTTCCTTTTAAGATAGTTTCAGAGCTTCCTGTTAAATTAGTAATAGAGACAGAAAGTTAAGAAACAAACTGAGAAGGTCTTAGACACAACTCTATTTTTTTTGTCAGTTGCTCATTTTTTAATATTTTATTGATTCTTTGTGAATTTCACATCATGCACCCCAATTACACTCATTTCCCAGTCCTTCCATAGCCACCCTCCACCCTGATAGGCCCCCAAAAAGAAAACAGCAACAAAACAAATATAGTACAAAACAAAAACAACAATCACAATGAGAAATTTTGCTCCTCCATCTTTCCCACCTCTCCATCATATATTTGTTTGTCATAGTGGCCTTGGAAACTGCAGTGTGTCACCCAGTAGACCCTTTTGC